TATGAAGGCAGCCCAACTGTACAGTCTAATAAGTAAACATAGTACCTGATAGCGATTTGCTGGCTGCTATACGGAAAAAAAATTCCGTGGGATAACTTGTCTCTGTCCTGCTAACCATCTCTGACTGTGTTGTTCGCTATCAGGTACTATGTTTACTTATTAGACTGTACAGTTGGGCTGCCTTCATACTTTGCGGCAGCGTCCACCAGCGACCGCTAGGGTTCCAAGTGCGTAGTGTCAGCGAAACAAGTGTCAGGAGTCATTTATGGAAGTATAGGTATTGATCTAGCAACCAGCAGATATCAGCGCCTACCATCGTCCAGGAATGGAGAGTATGGGGCAAGAGGAAGGCAGCAGACATGCTGCTGGTCGCTAGACTGATACCTGTACTTCCCTAGCACTCGGGAGGACGCTGAGAACGCTGGTGGTCTCTGGTGGACGCTGAACGCAAAGTATGAGCCGATTAGCTGACTGCGGTACGAAAAGTTCTCTGAGAGGACTTATCTCTACCCTGTAACATTTCCTAGCTGTATTTTTTTGTTATCACGCACTATGTTTACTTATTAGAGTGTACAATTATGTTACGTGCTTATCTGCCACAATCGGTCTTCTTTCGGAAGAATTTCTTCATTGCAGTTAGCGGAAAGTGCTTTAGGATGGTCGTCCATGGACGTATCAGACAGACTATTTTGGCTTTGTGGGCACGTTGCATGTCGTCATATTCAGCAAGTACGCAGAGATTCAAAACGAGGATGGAGTGTATAAATTGCAGAGTACTATGAAGAGGTGACCAGATGTATATGTCTATGTCATTTAAAATTGGATTTTGTTAGTTTTTTTTGTCCAGTCAATTTTATTTCCATTGCAGACGGCTCAAAATTCGCCCCATCCTCGAAAGTATTTTCCACGATTTTCTCAACATTCCCAGCTGTGATCGGCTGCCCAACTGGGATAACGCCATTGAGGTGAGCGTTTTTTTTTTGCAGTTTACTATGAATTCCCTCATTGTCTGTTTTTAAGGCGATGGAAGAGCATTTCCGGTCGGAATTTGCAGTTTCGGAATGGCGTCAAGCGGCTGCTCGATTCAATGCTTACTTGTGAACCCAGTAGTCAATTGCATGATGTCACAGTTTAGCATGTATTGTTTCTTAATCTTCTCAACTAACAGTCACAGTTTTATCAGTATCAACTAACAGTAGCAGTATTATCAGCATGAAGATTTTTTTAATGTAACAGCCGTTTTTTTGTGTTAACGCAATGCATAAACTGAGTCATGTGGTACTCTGGTTCCTTCAGGAGGAAGGGGCGTGTCAGGCAGTATGAGTGTGCCACGGCGCGAAACCCGTTCTCTGCCAGTTGCTGAAGCGGGTATGCGACAACAGTTGGTAAAACGAGTGATACGAACGATATGATACAGTCTTGTCACTTGCTCGCTTCAACAACTGGTGGAGAACGGGTTTGGCACCGCGCCAAACTCATCGCTGACACGCCCCTTCGTCCGCAACGAACTAGACCTTATCATTTTGTAAATTTACTCCTCGGAAGTCATTCTGTAACATTACTCATCAAAATAAACTTTTCAATATTGATCAAGTTAGCATTGCGCACTATGTGAATGAACCACTAAATGAGCCGTCCCTTTGTTTGGACTTCCCGTCGCAACCGATATGATTTCGATGAGGGAGATAGGCGCATTGCCGCTGTGCGGTAATTTTGGGGCCGCGCGCGGCGATGGGCGCGGCGTTTCTTAACTCGTGTTAACCTGTCGACTGGAGCACCGGACTTCATGTAGACCCCGTCATCGTAGACATTCATGACTATTTTCGGTTCTGAATTGCCTGTTATCGCCATCCACGACCTAGAACCGTCGTCATTTGCCGGTGCGACGCCCAATAGCGTAGCGAATTACAGTTCTCTTTTCACTTAAGCTTTTGATTTACGTGTGGAAAGGGTGGAGATCAGTTTGTTGCCCGCATTAGACATCCTTGACTTAGGCTGCGTTCATACTTTGCGGCAGCGACCATCAGCGTTTTGAGCGTCCGTCAGCGATTAGGAAAGTATAGAAATTGATCTAGAAAGTGGCGGCGTCTACCAAGCGTCCGCCAGCGACCATCAGCTTCACGAGGGACAGGGAATTCATCTCATATGGATATCGATCTAGCGTCTGCCTGCGTCCAACAGCGACCACGAGTACGGTGTTGTGTAATGGTGCTGTGCGATTCACGTCACCACATACCGTTTCCCCCTATTACTTCCCCGTATTCTATCAGCAATCTGTTATCATCCTAATTCCCCATACTCTCTACTCCTAGTCACAGGATTGAAGGCATATAATATTCAGCCCTGATAAATCCCTTTTGGGGTGCATCGCACGCACTGTAATTCGTGCGTCTGGGATTTCGCTTGGCATCGAATATAGCTCTGTCCGTGACATCGTTAATATCGACGCAGTAAGTCGGGGCGGTCTCAAGAGGGATAGAATGAGCCTACCCATGGCGTTTCCACCACTGGTTGTTTTCTTGCCAAATCGATGGCCAACCAACTATCATTGGTAGAGCAAGTCTTCTGACACCCCCGCCTGATTGCGACGTCTTCAACTATGTGTCATGAGACTGCCTACTGCTTGAGACTTCATTGATTCCTAACCAAATAAGTCTGGTGCCAGTCTTCAGATGAGTGGAAACTTTCGTTTGAGCTGCGATCTAGGTTTCCATCCCG